TCATGATTATGCCACTAAACTCCAGTCTGGATGACAGAGTGAGGCCCTGTCTCAAAAATAAAAATAAAATAATTTGAAATAAAATCTGATTCTGTATCTTCTCATGACAGTTGGTAACCATAATGCCTTGGTCATTATGGCACTTGGTGATTACGGTACTTTGAAAGAAAACAAAAAGTTTTACAGAAATTGGAGACTTTCTCTGTTACTTCCTCGTTGATAAATCTAAAAATAAAGATACTGTGCTAGAAACAATGGTATTCAGTTTTCATTCTAAAAGAATGTGAAACTGGTAGGTTACTACATACAAAAAAGTTTAAAAAAATGTAACTGGGCAGCTTAACTTCAAAATGCATTTTCAATGTTTTTTTTCTTTCTCTTGGGTTTCAAGATACAACCTTGAGGCAAGCTGCAGAAGCCTTTCCTTAGACTTAAAAAAGACTCCACATCTCTCCCTTTCTCACGGTATATACTCCCTTCATATCTATCTAACCCTATGCTAGTATCTAATTATATGCCTTCTTAGAAGTTCCAGGAGCTAATCTTGAGACAGACAGACCAAGTCTGGAGACCCAGCTACAAAATTCCAGAGATTAATCCAAGGACACTAGTTAACAACCCAGCCATTGTTGAAGTGACATCAGCCCACACTCCAGGTGGAGTGGGACCCAAGTTAGCCACCAGAACAAGACACACAGACATCGTACTTGGCCCAATTCTTTCATGCCTTCTTTATCTAGTTTTCCCTTTTTAAGCCCCTGCCTTCCACCAACCCCAGCCCCAAATCAGAGCAGTTACTTTGGATAGGAATCTGGCTGCTTCCCCCTTTTTACTGGTTTTGGTTAATAAAGTCACTGTCTTTATCAGACCTTGCTCTTGTTAATTGGACTATACAAGCAGAGACCATCTGGACTTGCATTCAGTTAGAAATATACAATGTGCATATGTGGTCACAATGGTATTGAAACATTCCAATAATTAGTGGAGCTCATTCTCTTTATGTCACCTCAATTAGCCATGGGCTTCGAGAAGCACATAGAATGTTTACTTAGGGATGCCAAATTTTATTTTGTGCCACTGACTATTTAAAATTTAAATTACCCATACTTGTGTATCATATCCCCTTGCTCCCCCATCACCACCACCAAGACTATATAGCTCTGGGAGGATAGGAACCATCTCTCACCTACTCTCTATAAAAAATATAGAAGCTCAAGTGTTACATCCTCTACAAAGCCTTCTGTGATGATCTGTTCTCAGCAGAAGGTAACTCCTTCCTTGATTCCTTGTTGTGCTGAGTGTCAGCACTACCCCTTTAAGATTTTTTAGCACATTCTCACTCCTCTAAATATTTCAAGCCCTTGGGGAATTAAAAAAAATTCAAAAAATAGCTGGGATCCATGTCCTTAATAACAAAACTAAAAGCTAGCCATAGGTAGACACATATTAATCAAGCTAAATTACAGTATGGCCATTTTTCTTCTAGTACAATTATCTTTGGCTTTAAGACAAAAATGAATCATTAGGGTTCTGCATGCCTTCTGGCAAAGAAATAAATATACAGTGTGAGCTGAATGCTCAACATTGTGAGTGTCATTAGAACAAGTTCTATAGATATGAATTTCCCGAGTTAATCCTCCTTCATTATCTTCATTAGCTAACAATGCACATGGAGTCACTGCCCATAATTATTGCCCTAACAGACATGGATGTTTGAAATATTAACTTTCCCACAGACTCCAAACCTTTAGTAAGCAGCTCTCAATGATTCATTATATTAATAATACATGTCATCACACTCCTCTTAAATGTGCATGAGATTAAAAACCACCCATGGTGCAAACCTTCCAATATCATTTTTAGTATAATTTGTTACCTTTGAGATACTATAATTGTAACAGCACCCAGGTACCACTGTAATAAAGATAAGTTTAATCATCTGGCTTGTAAGTAACCAGTATTATAACTTATTCCACTTTTACTCCATTTTTAACATGCATTCAAGTGAAAATATTTCATAACATAAAGTATAATACTTTTTAAAGTACATACATTTTTACCCATTAATTCTTTCCCCAGAAGTCACTGCCACCATCAATTTGTGTTTATTTTTCTCATGCTTGCTTTACTGCTCTTATTACATATGTATGCATCTATAAATAAATCATAGATGGTAAAAAATAAAGTAATATGTTTAATTCACAGGATAACCTAGTTTAATATTGTATAAAAAGGGTAAATTAATTTTGACAGATATTTTATAGACAAAGTAATAATTAAAAATTGAAATTTATCAAGAAATTAGCATGCAATATACTGATGTCTATTAAAAAATACACTGTTAAGCACTATTTGGAGAATTATAATGTCCTATTTCTAATTACATATTTTATAAACTTTTATAAATTCTGAGTTTATTCAAATTTTTACAGAAAAGATCAGATATGATCCAAAAATTGCATATACAAATCCAGAAGAAAATAAAATTCAAATAAAGGTAAAAATTACATCGTTAATCTCGGATCATGTTACTTCATGCATCATGATTAGAATGGTTACAGATTATTGACTTAAGTGTAATAATGGTAATAAAAGTAATTGCCACAGCTATATGCACCAATAGCTTACTTAACTTACTATATGTCAGGCACAGTAATAAGTGCTTTACATTAATATGTCATTTAGTTTTCACAATAACCAACTTGAGGAGATATTAATCTTATTGACATTTTACAGATGAGGAAAGTGGAGGTCTACACGATTAAATGATTTGCCCAAGGTCACAGGGCTTGGTAATCGAGGGGACCTGACTCCATGTCTATCCTCTTAAACACAAGGTCAGCCTCTAGCTCCCCAGAATGCCTGTTTCCTTGCATGACCTTATATGAGTTCTCTGAAGTCTCCAAAGCTCATTTCCTTTAGCTGTAAAATGGGAATAACATTAATATATGCTAGGATTACTGAGAATTAATTAAGATAGTTTAAGAGAAAGTACTGAGCAAATCATGGAGCTATACACTGTTGCTTGTTATGTTACAGATAAAAACAAAGTTAAAAGTGAAAAAAAACAAAAACTGCTAATTGGCTCTTGGTCAAAATTTTCCAAGAAAAAATAGTATACTTAGGTAAACATTACTAATTGTTTTATCTTGCAATATGGTTTGCATCTGTGTCCCCACCCAAATCTCACTTTCAATTGTAATCCCCAATGTTAGAGGTGGGTCCTGGAGGGAGGTAACTGAATAATGAGGCACTTTCTCATGATTTAACACCATATCCCTTGGTGCTGTTGTTGCAATAGTGAGTTTCATGATATCTGGTTGTTTAAAAGTGTATGGCATCTCCCCTCTTTCTCTCTTCCACCTGCTCCAGCCATGAGAAATGCTGGCTCCCCCTTTGCCTTCTGCCATGATTATACATTTCCTCAGGCCTTCCTAAAAGCCAAGAAGAGGCTTCCATGCTTCTTGTACAGCCTGCAGAACTGTGAGCAAATTAAGACTCTTTTCTTTATAAATTACCCAGTCTTAGGTATTTCTTTACAGCAATGTGAGAACAGAACAGACTAGAACAGACTAATGCATTTAAAGATTAGAACAGACTAATACATCTTGCTTAGGTAAGACAGAAATTATTACATAAAGGCAAATGTAAATCAATATCTTTATTATACAGAGACAGAGAGAGAGAGAGATAAGCAGCAACAGACCAAGCCAGAAGTGAATAGTGAAACTAGGAATGCACCTTTGGAGATGGGTACCATGAAAACTGTCATACCACTGGATTTGGTCTTTCTAAGAGCTCTTCAAAACTAAGGCTTTTTAAAGTTACCTGGAATCATTATCAAGTCCTAATTTACTGTGATTCATATATATGTATTGATTTCTGGCAATATTTAATTCACCAGACATAGAAAGGAAAAATAATATTCAAAAGTGTCATTAATCATCATTTTAGATAAGTTATTACTGGGATTATTTTTTCCATAGGGCTTTGTGCTTTAAAAAATTATGTCATAAGTATCATGTCAATCAAGGTCCTAAAACAAGTATTACTGAAAATTTGAGATCAGGAAACTCGAATTCAACAAGATTAATAATGATAAGAAATCTATCTATATATGTTTTGTGTGTGTGCATGCATGTGTGCATGTGTGTGTGCGTGTCATACATGATGAGCATACAGGTGTCTCTCATTCTGGTTAAATATTAGAAATCAGAAAAGTAGCCCCTCCTCTTCTTTGGAATTAGAGAAACTAGCGAAGTACTATATCAAAAATTAGGGGAAGAAAGATTAGAAGTAATAAATGGTAAGGAAAGTACCAAACCTCTCTAACACATACATAGGCCAATAATTACTTCTCTTAAGAACATGAACTTGGTGTTTTACCTAGATTAGGACAAGAGGCAGATTTTAGCAGACAGTGATGAACTGAATAACCCTTGTGCTTTCCTCCCACAGCACCAGCTCAGACAACCACAAAAAATGCCCCGTCACCCCTTGGCTGGATTTCCTTTTCATCCCATCCCCATTTCCACCTCTGTGGAGGTATTCGGTATCTAGCTATTAGGCTGTTGAAGAAACCAAGATTCTGGGATAAGCCTCAGATAACTCATCTGTAAAATGAACTAACTAGCTGATTTCTAAAGTGCTAAGACCTCCCCACTATAGGAATTCTACACCCAACAGATGTTTTGTTTTCTATTTTCTGAGGCATGTGAATTTTTTGTATCTAATAGCTTTGCACTTTTCTTAATGTCTGTTTTGTTAATGATTTTAAAGAAAGTATATATATAGCCAAAAGAAAAAAAAATAGAGAAAAAGGCCACTGTAATTCCTATAGTCACTCTCAAGACTCTCACATCATTAAATGAGGAATAAAGGAGACTTTCAATTACATAAACCCACAAATATGCTAAGTTGCATTATCAAAAGTCTTTACTTGATTTTGTAAGAAGTAAGAAAACTGTGAGAGTGTATAGCATTTGCAAGGTCCTACCTACCTCCTGGCCGTTCATGCTCTCCATCAGTGTGTAAAAGCATGGCAATGGGCATCCCTACGTTCTTGGATCTTCCAGCCACAACCACATTTTTTCCAAATGTTTGAATTCCTTAAAGTACAGAGTTTGGTTTAAATGCAGCATTGACAACAAGAAGTAAAATAAACATTTGAACAGCCAGCTGAAACATTCTTTTAAAATTTTCTAATTAAATCTGAATTATTATGTGGCTTGTCTATAATATGACCACACTCATTATTTTAAAATAATTCATTTTATGCTTCTTAGATTTGTCACTTCTTCTCTGATTATGTCCTCATTAAAAACCACAGACATTCTTCAGTTGCCATTAAGTTACTTTTAAACATTAAGATTGACATTAAGAGTTAGAAGTGTAGAATCTTAACATATATTAACTGCTAATTATAAAATAAGCAAACTACAGCAATGTCACACTTAATTGGCAATCAAACGTTGAGCAATGCTGGGACAAAAACAAGTGAAAAAAGAGGCATTTTCACAAAGCTCATGCCTTTTTCTCCATAGGAAAGAAACGCTAAACTTACAGACATAGAAAGATGTAAAAAATAAAGCCTGCAGATTTAATACATTCTACTTTTTTTGGACTCATTTCTTCATAAGTAAAACAAAGAAGTTAGAACTAAGGATTTTCCAACACTAACACTGTAAGAGTATAAATCTACGATCTGTTTTCCCTTGGAGGTTTTTCTTTCTCAGAAAATAGCGGATTAGAAAGGAGAAAATGCCACCAAAAATAGAAGTAACAGTGATGGAGGTAGGAAAATCATCAATATGTAAGGCAATTTGGGGTCAATTAATGTAGAGGTAAACATCTCTATATACTGTAAGAGTATGTGAGAGCGTTACTGAGTCCAGCACAGTACATGTTAAATGTTTAAGATGAAAACCCAAGCCAAGAGAAATGATAACCATGAGATCACCGCATATTTTTAAAGGTAAAGAAAAAATATATTTTAGAAAAGTTTCTATCAAAAGGCATGAAGTTTATATTTTAAAGGTAGACATACACCACTACTGTGTGGAAAATTCACTTCCTCTAAGTTACAACTGCAGTTATCTATAACCTGGCAAATGTTCTTCATTTTATTTTATTTTGAATTATGTTTTGACTTCTACAATTTTACATCTCTCTATATACTGATGCTTTATGAGTTATCATTTTCTGTCACCCTATAGGACTGAGGTGGCCCCATCAAGTCTCAGTGCACACATGCTCAGCTCAGCACCTAGCACCCATTTCCTGCAGACCACAAGTTACCAACCTGTTCTTGTTATTATTTCCCAAACAGCACTGGCAGTGGCAGGTATGAGAGAATGCTGATCAAGGCACAATCTTCCAATATTGATAATATGAAATCCATCAACATCTTTTTCTGGGGCAATTCCATTGCATATCGTTCGCTCATCAACATGGTCTGAAAAATAAATAAAATTTGTCTAATTTTTTTAGACAAATTTAAACTGTTAGATAAATTTAAACTGTTACTTATTTGGTAGCTTGGAAAATGAAATCTGGGAATCTAAAGACACATCACTTATAATTCAGCTCCAAGAAAGGTATAAAGTCACTATTATTATTTGCCACAAAAATAGTAAGCAAAAATGTGCTTGACTGATGGCTAGAATGAACTGTAGCTGTAATATATGCTATTACAGACCCAAAAGGGGCTGGACCGGTAAAAGAAAAAGTTTGTGAATTAAATAATCCCAATGAGATCTGGTAATAGCCAGGTGTTACGCCTTTGCTTCAATAAGTTTGTATATTTAGAGGGTTTAAATCCACATTTATCTGACATGAGACAATTTTATTAAATTAAATACTTTGAGCACTGCAGATTAAAGGGGTTTGTTAGTGTTAAGAATAATCACAACATCATTAGTTCTTAGCTTCCCCTTAAATGACATAACAAAAACGCAAATAGAAAACATGCAAACACACACACACACACACACACACACACACACACACACACACACACACATTTTCTCTAAAGCACTGGCATGGTGAAATCAAAATATTACTATGATTTGCTAGATGGAGAATAAGAATACAACCTGAGTAATAAACTAATCAAATCAAATATGGGATGCCAATCATCTCATTTTTCAAAGTAAGTACAGAAATATAAAATAGGCACCTATTACTCTAAGCAGAGTAGTTTAAACTACCACTAACCTAACAATTAACCCATGTGCCTAATATATTAAAAGTATATTTTCTATGTAAAGTTTATTTGGCCATTATATAATGCCATTTAGACATAATTCTTTAAAACATTATAAAAGCCCAAGTTAAAACTTTCAGAAAACTATGCCTTGGGTTTTATACCTTTTGTATTCTGAAAGTGTGCTACTGCACCTTACTTTAAGTAGAGTCAATTAACCATAAGTAGACTACCAAAGTCCTTTAAATATATAAAAGTATTCATTTGAATCATATTCAAATAGAAACTGAGTCTTCGGACCGTCTCTCCAATCAATAGTTTTCACTTTCAATAACTGCATTCATTCAAAATGTTTTAGCAGGGCCTCCATCTATTTTCTATAGAGCTAGAAGATCATAATATAGATGCTAGTCAAACTTTTAAAAGAATACATATTTAACTTACTACATGAGGGTAAAAATAGTCGTTCTTTTTTTAAACAAATTATAGGTGATGATGATGATAAGTCATTTTAAATCACCTGCCACTCACGCAGAATCTTCATAACATGAATATTTTTTACAATGAAATCAAAAGCTTTATATATGAAAAGAAAAATAACTATATTTGAAGTATCTATTTTTTAGCTAGGACTCAAAATAGTTTATTTCTAAGTTCAAAATTGGCTAATATATGCATGGACTGCACTACTGATTGAAAAGAACTCAACAAGGACTCTTTGTAGATTTTAAGAGCCATTCTCCAAACAATAAGCCTGAATTACACTGAATTTTGCCAACTAATATTGTGCTCCCATTCGCTGAAAATAACATTAAAGCTGTAACAAATAATTCATCTCACACACCAGCTAAAATACTTGAGAAGAAATGTAAGCATCTGAAAAATTGGAAGCCAGAACTAGAGACTGATGGTTATAGATCTGTCCTCTTGTACATATAAACTTCAACTCAGATCATAATTTAGATCACCACTTTTGTCTTAAGTATTTAAGCATTAGTAGTTTAAAAGACAGATGTGTGCACATACAAAAGGTATAGCAGATTCATAAAACCTGAATCTAAAAGGGAAAGAGCTTCATATGAGTAGATTAAAAAAAAGTGAGGATCACAAAAATCAAGAAAACCAATTCATTTATCATTTTTATATAACTCTGTTATCTCAGCAGTGTATTAAATCTAATATTTATCTTTTTCCGGGAGAGATCTATCTTTTATTATGTAGTGTACATTATATAGCAATAATCTGAAGACCTATATCTAACATTTAAAAAGTGCTTTACAATGATTATATTACTGTTACATCAATTTCCCTTTAATCTTCATTGTTACTGGGGACTAAGGTAGAAAAGGTATGATCATGCCCATTTTAAAGACAAGCTCAAGGAGTTTGAGTCAATCTCAAGCCACTACAAAGAATCCAGAGTTTAAATCCATATCTTTTGGCTCTAAGATCAGTTTTTCCTTTTGTATCATACAGAAGTCATAATAAATATTAATCACTTTAAATACCATTTAAAAACTGAAATCAGAGAGGCCTCCCTCCCAACTCCTAACAAGACATTTGATAACTCTAAAGTATCCCAAGAAATGTACCGTTTCTCCTAGGGCTCCAACTATAACACTATTCCTAGATTAAGTAATACATGTCTAAGCACATGCAAAAAAGCATCAAACATTTTACAGATAATCCTACTTCTTTTTGTTTTACGAGTAAGAGAAATAAATACATTTCCTGTTTTTGAATGACTGCTAGAAAAAGTTTCCCAAAATCTCACCCTTGGGGCACATGGCTTGAACAGAAAAAAGAATCATGAGACCATTGCATCAATTTTCTCACAATGGTTATACAACTGTTTTGATTCACAGAATACACTGGTAAACAACAAACCACTTAACATCTTACCCAAATGATGGTAAAACTGGTATTATTCACTTTGTGTTTTTCCCCCTTCTATTTAAGGTTATGAGAAATTATTAAATCATGCTAGGGATAAAAGAAGTCATCAAATTAAAATCTGAACACTACAATAAAACAGCTCAGATAATGCCTCTAGGGAGCTCACTGTAGATTTATTACACTGAATATATATGTACTGTATACTACATAATAAAAAGTAGATCTCTCTCTCTCTCTCTCTCTCTCTCTCTCTCTCT